CACGGCGCGAGGTGGGGTGGTAAAACTGCCAACCAGGCGCGTTAGGGGGGAAGCCTTGGAAGACGCAGGGATCAACACGAGGGGACAGCTTGTTCGCACACAAGTCACGGACAAAAGCTCGAGATCACCAGACACGAAACGCAGACGCATCGCCAACCTTCCCCGTCCACCGCAGAGTAGGGGAGGTATCCGGCAAGGAGACTCAGGGATGAAGATTGATCTGATGCGCCGCGTACCGAACCGCGAACGGCCACAGAAAATGGGGAGCAGCCGCATGAATCATGGACGTACGAGCGACGTCCATGACCATGCCAATGCGGCGCTCAGCAATCCCATTTTGCTGTGGAGAGGCCGAAAGCGTGAACGTCTGGCGGATGCCCAGTGCACGGCAGAAGGCTCCGAGAAGGCCAGAGGAAAAGTCTCCACCTCTGTCAGAGTGCAGACACAAAACAGGAAAGTCCGAGCCGAAACTCTTTCTGAGTTGGAGACGAGCTGCGTGGATCCAAACGATCAACACCTCAGTGACGTCACCCTTGCTGCGCAAGGGGAAAACCGTGGTGTAACGCGAGTAGTCGTCAACCAACAACAAGAAGTAACGCTCGTGACCCTGGCCACGGACGCAGGCAGGGCCCCACACGTCCATGTGAAGAGTCTGCAGCGGAGCCTCTGTCGGAGGAAACTCGGAGAAGTGAGGAGCGGCGCGATGCCGCCCCTTGACACAGGGAACGCAGGTAGGGGCAGGCCCTGGAGGGAGGGGAGGGAGGGACCGGGGGAGACCAGAGAGAAGGTAACGGGAGGCCATGCCGCGGAGACGAGGCAGGGAGGGGTGACCAAGGCGGTGGTGCCAGAGGAGAGTCCGGTGGGACAGGAGACGACACGAGCAGGGAGCAGACTCAGGACCAGACCTGGACGCTGCAGCAAACACCTGACTCGACGCAGCTACCTGACCAGACTCAGCAACCGGAGGAGACTCAATAGTCAGTGTGTACAGGCTCGGCCCCGGCCGACGGGTAAACGTGGCCAAGTGTCGGCCCGTCCGAGCACACGTATAGTGGGTCACCCGCTGACTCGCAGGAGTGAACTGGTCAGCCCCCCAATCCTGTAGATCAGCACCACTCACCAAGTTTGTAGAGATTGAGGGGAGGTAGAGACCTGACAGAGTGCCAGAGGGGGCGGCCGGACACGGTAAGACAGTGGAGAAGTTGGCAAGGATAGGACCCATAGAGGGGTCCGCCAGGGAGACCGCAACTGGCCGACTAAGCGGCGTGAGTGTGGTGCGGTCTCGAAAGAAGGAGCGGGAAGCACCCGAGTCAAGGGTGAAGGTGTGAGAGGCCTGAGCCGACGTGGTACCTGAGAGAGGAGACTCACCAGCACCTGGGGCAGCAGACGAGCTAGCACCTAGAGCAGCAGCCTCACCAGCACCTAGAGCAGCAGCCTGAATGCCTGGGTCAGGCGAAACACACAGGTAACAGTCACCCTCATCACTAGTAGACACAACATACATGGCAGCAAGAATAGCATCACAATCCAGATCAAAGATAGCAACCCCCGACCTAAGCAGCTCGCCCCAGCAGGGGATCTCAGTAGCGTCAGGGAACTGGAGACGCCAAGCGTCCGTCAGGCGGCCGAAGCAACGCTGGGTGGTGTGAGGGCCACCACACGGCTCACCAGTGCGGTCGCCGGTACGCAGGACGTAGGCACAAGGACCAGCACCCCCACCCCGCTAACGCGTAGCGTACCACTCACGAAGCTGCTGGGGGGGCGGGGTCTCACGAGTGCGCTGCTGGTGCTAGCGCTGACCACCACTGAAGCCGCCCCACTGCGCAGAGCCACCCCGACCACCTCCACCTCCGCCGCCGCCACCTCCGCCACCACCGCCAACGCCTCCTCCTCCGCTCCCACCGTCACCGCCACTGCCGCCTCTGCCTCCACCGCCGCCACCGAAGCCCCCACCCCCGCCACCACTCCCATCGCCACCCCCACTCCCTCCGCCGCCTCCACCGCCACCTCCACCGCCCCCGCCAGCCCCTCCAGCGCCCTTGGCCCCCTTGCCCTTGCCGGTGCAGCGTCTTCCGCTAAGGGCAGACGCAGCGCTGACCGACTCAGTGCCAACGAAGTCCACGGCAGCAGCAGAGGCAACAGAGGGCAAAAGTGGGGAGGGGGAGCACCCCTCAAAGAAGGGGGTACGAGGGTCACCACGAGAGGCTCCTACAGCGACTATACTCTTCTCAGCTGCCAGGAGGCGCTCCTCGAGGAGGTCAACGGTGAGTGTGGTGGGGCAAACAGAGAGGAAGTGGTCCATGACCGAGCGAAGGGAGTCAGGGAGCCGGGTGACTATGAAGTAGTGAGTGATGTACATGGGGGGGGGGGGGGGGTTCTTGGCGCAGAACTCAGCAGGAAGCGCAGCGCGGTAGCGGGTGTCACTAGTGCGAAGGTGCGTTATGAGGTCAGTGACAGTGGGAAAGGCGGCGAGGTCAGGGAATTGGAATGGCAGCATGAGGCGGCTAAGGGCAGCAGTGGCAGGGGAAGAGTAGCGTACAACTACAGTGTTGTACAAGGTCTTAGCACTCTTGTACTGACTAAAGTGCGCGCGCTTAGTGGACGGCAAGTGACTACGCACAGCAAGACGGGCAGCAGCATCGCGTGTGGCCCACTGGGAGCGAACAGTGCTGTCAGCATCGGCACTAGGGGCGGGAGAGGCGCCAAACGTGAGATCGAACAGTGAGAGACCGTCTTTCCTATCGCACTTCAGGAAAAGCTACAGATCATCGACCCAGACATCAAAGTCGATAGCCCGACCCTCAGCATCAAAGATGAGAACGCTACGGGTAGCCATGATAGCAGCAATAGCCGGCTAGCAGCAGTAGCAGCAGGCGCGGCTCAGCGGTGCTCTTACTAGGGTGGGTGGGTAGGGGCCTGCAAGTGGTGGGACAGGGCCGAGGCGCGTCGGCAGGGACAGGGCCGCGATGGCGGCGGCGGCTCCTGCTGTCGGCGGCGGCGGCGGTTGTGGCCCCGGCAGCGGCGGTGGCGGCGGTCACGGCAGCGGCGGTTGCGGCGGCTGCGGCCCCGGCAGTGGCGGTGGCGGCTGTGACAGCAGCGGCGGCGGCGGCTGCTGCTGTCGGCAGCGGCGGCTGCTTGCGGTGGCTGCTGCTGTTCGCGGAGGAGCCGAAAAGGGGCGGGTAAGGGTGGCGAAGGGGCCACGAAAGGCCGTGAAGAGGCCGCAAAGGGCGGCGACGGGGCCGAGACGGGACCGTGAGGGGCCGCGAAGGGCGGCGACGGGGCCGAGACGGGGCCATGAGGGGCTGCGAAGGGCGGCGACGGGGCCGAGAAGGGGCCGTGAGGGGCTGCAAAGGGCGGCGACGGGGCCGAGAAGGGGCCGCGAGGGGCCTCGAAGGGCGGCGACGGGGCCGAGAAGGGCGGCGACGGGGCTGCGAAGGGCGGCGACGGGGCCGCGAAGGGGCCGCGAGGGGCCACAAAGGGGCCGCGAGGGGCCTGAAGGGGCCGTGAAGGGCCGTGAGAGGTGCTGTGAGGGGGCCGTGAGAGGGGCCGCTATGGGGCCGTAAGAGAGCGCGACGGGCCGCTAAGGGCAGGGGACGCGACGGGAGGGTAGGCACACGGGGCGCGACTCGGGCTGGGGCGAAGCGCGCTCTGGGCAGGAAAAAAAATCGATTTTCGGTGGGCCCTAGGAAACGTTCCCACTAGGGAACCTGCTCTATACCATGTGAAAGAACGAGGAATGATTGACTAAGGAAAGAGTGTGATACAAATGTGAAACCCTAGAATTGTGTACCCCGTAGTATCTAATCAGCCACAGCCTACACAGGCTAGATCATATAAGTCTGACATCACCTGCTCCACCATACTCTTCAGCTTCTCTCCAAAGGTCTTGAAAAACCCCTCTGACATTTCCTGCAATGCTCCCACAGCCGCTGCTGTAGCTGCGCGACCCGCATTAGCTGCTGCCACTCGTGCTTCTCTGACAGACGTCAAAAGAGCAGTACGCAATTGGTTTAGCTCGTCGCATTCCGGACCACCTCAGCCTTGAGCTCGTGGTACTCGTGCGTTAGATCATCGTAGTCCTGCAAGTAGCGCATGTCTCAACCCTGCATTTGCAAACCAAACTCGCAAATCTCTGCCATGCAGTCGCTGAAACGAACACGTTGCTCCGACAAAGTCCTAGCCACGGACCTTGCCACCAACGTCAGACGCCGCATTAACTATGCTTTGGTATGCACCCTGCCGCCAGCTACGATGCCGTCGCCAGCCTTCTCAAATCCTCGCTCCGTCTCCTCGAAAACCTAGGGCCCCGCATGCTCCAGTTCCGCCAGTTGCGTCTCCACAGCCACCCATTCACCATCCTCTAGTTCCTTTGCCTGCACCGCAGCAGGATTCTCTCCCGCTCGTGGATGACGCCTCTGCATAGGGAGCGCACTCGCCGCACTCTCTTGTTCCTCGTCCACCCGTCCTCCCGCCTGTCTTTGCTGATTCTCCCTGTGTCGCACTCCCTCTATTCCCCATCCCACCCCACGCCAGACCTGATCCTCCGCCATTCTCTCACCCTGCCGCGTTCCACGTGCTTCACTCTCTCGCCTACCAGCTTGCCTTGACTGCTCGACCCTCCTACGGTCTTCCTCGCCGACCCTGTTCCGAACTGTTTGATCATCACGCGGGCCACCTTCCCGTTGCATCACCGGCCTCGTTCCGCCAGTTCTCAACCCCGGTAAACCAACATCCGCTGCCCGACCAAAAGTCGTCCCCTGATGCCCCTCGATTGGCTGGTCGCCAACCACCACTTGCCAAGCTCCTTCCTCTGCATCCCGCTCTAACTGCGTTGGGAAGACCCTCGCGCCCCTCTGGCCCTCGCTCGTGTGACGCGTTCCATCCCCACGCCGCTGCCCCCCAACACGTTGCTCATTCATCCCAGCAACCTCACTCTACCTTTCGTGCCTCTGTGCAGCGCCCCCCATCCCACGCCGCTCATTCTCCACCCGTCGCTCCCTCTAACGCTCCACACCATGATGCTCACGGGCTTCCTCCGTCTGTCTTGCCACTAGCCTTTTGCGCTTAAGCCTTTGAAGCTCTTTCCTTCTGCATTCGCTTTCGCTTCTCTTCCGTTCCCGTTCCTGCCTCTGCCGCGCTTCCTCCCTTTCGCGTGCTTCTCGCTCCCGGGTCTCGGCCACCAGCCTCTGTCGCTCTTGCTCCTCCACCCTCGCCTTCTTTTCGCGCGTTTCTTGCTCCTTGGCCTCCAGCCTCTTCTGCTCCCGTTCGTCCTCCCTCCGGCGCTTTTCCCGCTTCTCCTCCTTTTCGCGCCTTTCCTCCTCCCTCTTCCGCTCTTCCTCCTCCCTCTGCCGCTTCTCGTCCTTTTCACGCTCAGACTTCCTTTCCTCCTCCCTCTTCCGCTCGTCCTCCTCCCTCTGCCGCTTCTCCTCCTGTTCGCGCTCAGCCTTCGTTTCCTCTTCCCTCTTCCACTCTTCCTCCTCCCTCTGCCGCTTTTCCTCCTGTTCGCGCTCGCCCTTTTTCTCCTCCTTCCGCTCGTCCTCCTCCCTCTGCCGCTTTTCCTCCTGTTCGCGCTCTGCCTTTTTCTCCTCCTCCCTCATCCGCTCTTCCTCCTCCCTCTGCCGCTTCTCCTCCTGTTCGCGCTCGGCCTTTTTCTCCTCCCTCTTCCGCTCCTCCTCCTCCCTCTGCCGCTTTTCCTCCTGTTCGTGCTCTGCCTTTTTCTCCTCCCTCTTCCGCTCATCCTCCTCCCTCTGCCGCTTTTCCTCCTGTTCGCGCTCTGCCTTTTTCTCCTCCTCCCTCTTCCGCTCTTCCTTCTCCCTCTGCCGCTTCTCCTCCTGTTCGTGCTCTGCCTTTTTCTCCTCCCTCTTCCGCTCGTCCTCCTCCCTCTGCCGCTTCTCCCCCTGTTTGCGCTCAGCCTTCGTTTCCTCCTCCCGCTTCCGCTCCTCCTCCCTTTGCCGCTTTTCCTCCTGTTCGCGCTCTGCCTTTTTCTCCTCCCTCTTCCGCTCATCCTCCTCCCTCTGCCGCTTTTCCTCCTGTTCGCACTCTACCTTTTTCTCCTCCTCCCTCTTCCGCTCTTCCTCCTCCCTCTGCCGCTTCTCCTCCTGTTCGCACTCTGCCTTTTTCTCCTCCCTCTTCCACTCGTCCTCCTCCCGCCTCTTCTCCTCCTGTTTGCGCTCAGCCTTCGTTTCCTCCCCCCTCTTCCGCTCCTCCTCCTCCCTCTGCTGCTTTTCCTCCTGTTCACGCTCTGCCTTTTTCTCCTCCCTCTTTCGCTCATCCTCCTCCCTCTGCCGCTTTTCCTCATGTTCGCGCTCTGCCATTTTCTCCTCCTCCCTCTTCCGCTCTTCCTCCTCCCTCTGCCGCTTCTCCTCTTGTTCGCGCTCTGCCTTTTTCTCCTCCTCCCTCTTCCGTTCGTCCTCCTCCCTCTGCCACTTTTCATCCTGTTTGCACTCAGCCTTTCTCTCCTCCCTCTTCCGCTCTTCCTCTTCCCTCTGCCGATTTTCCTCCTTTTTGCGCCACACCTTCCTCACCTCCTCCCTCTTCCGCTCTTCCTCTTCCCTTTGCTGATTCTCCTCCTTTTCCCGCTCCACCTTCCTCGCCTCCTCCATCTTCCTCTCGTTTTCTTCCCTTTGACGCAAGACCTCCTTTTCGCGCTCCACCTTCCGCTCCTCCCCCCTCTCATTTTCTCCCTACTCCCTCTTCCGCTCCCATTCCTCCCTCTCCCTATCCCCCTCCAACGCGCGCACCTCTCGCTTTTTGTCCTCGAGGCTCATACGCTTCTGTTCAACCATCTGATTCGTCTCTTCCTCCTCGCGTGATTCCCGCCCCTGATCATACCTCTTTTTTGTTCTTGCCTCCCACCTCTGATACACCACCCTACTCTCGCGTCCCGCTCTCTGCACCTCTTTGGACTCCCCTGCCTCATGTCCATACCCTGCCCCTACTCCTGTTCATCATTCTCGACCGTGAGGTGCACTGCCTCAAAACCCATTGCTAACTCCTCCATCCTCTCCCCCTCCCTCCTCTGTTGTAGTGCCTCCGATCCGCAACGCTCGGTCTTATCCTCTTGTGCCCTCTGCTGCGCCTCCCTCATTCCACGCAAGATTTCGCGCACACTCCTCCTCTGAAACGGTGGTTCCTCTCTTTCCATCATCTGACGCTCCCTATCCGTTACGCTCTGACGCTCGTTGGCCAGACCTATTCGTGCGCCGCCGGCAACCATGGCCCCCAAGGCGACTATTTCCGCGTCAATAACGGGCGGGGCACCCATGTCCTCAGCAGCGTCCCCAACATGCCCCAGGTTGTCCACCTCTCCCGCACTCTCCTCATCACCAGCCGCCAGTTTGCCAAAATACTCAGCGCAGCTGGTCACTATGTCCCGGAATATATCCTCTCGCCGGTAGGGTGGTTTTCCAAGAACCCTAAATTTCTCGTCTCGATCATCCTGTAAGAGAATCGAGTGAAAATGATCGAGCAACTTACGTCACTGGTACGCTACATGAGAACCGCTCCCGACCTCCCTCGAGCCGACCATTGAAGTTAGCTTATGCATGAAAAGGGAAAGGAGCATGTTAGCTCTTGTCCTGTTTAAAGTTCCAATGTAAAACATTGATTTGCACCGTAAACTTACTCCCGCACTGTCGAGCCTCCACCCGCTCATAATCTGTCTCCTGATGTCGCGGAATGTTTCCTGCTCCCCCGAGTCTAGGATTGTTTCTCCTCTAGAAAACTCCGTCAAAAGCTGCACCTCCAGCCATCTCCTCAACATGTGATTCTCCGAAAAAATTAGGTTCTGCTCTGCCAGGCCGTCATCAAGTGTTAGAACATATATTGCATATGTTTTGTATAAGTGCATGTAGTCTAGCTGTAGTGTAGTCACATATGTGTTCTGTGTGGTGGTGCACCACTCCTAGCTTGCTTCTCATCTATTTGTACCTATCTTCACATAGTGCAACTCCCTTCTTGCTTGGACAACTCTCTCTTGTTCCTAGCTTGTGCTCAAACCCTAAACTATGGTTCTTAATCTACTCTTAGTATTCTAACATCAAGCACATGTGATGAGCGACAGTAGCTAAATCTTACATGACAACTTGTAGGGCGAGGTCGCCGTGCTTCTGTGCTGGAGAAGTCGGCTTGGGGTCGTAATGCAGAAGACGCGTCGCAACCAGAACATTCGGGTGGTCGGCCAGACTGTCGGGCCGGACAAGCAAGAAAAGGGTACAGCACGCTCCAATTTCGGCAGACATGCTGCATGGGGTGGTGGAGCAAAAGGTTAGCTAGCGCGTAAAAGCTCAAAACATCGAACAGCCTATGTATTTCCCGAAAAGTAAACATTGACACCAAAACCTGTAAAATTCGAGCTCACCGCGACCAGAGCGGGAAGACGGCGAGTTGCTTGCTAAGCACACCATCAAGTCTGCTTGCACCCATGGGTTTGAAAGGTTGTTTTGCCCTGGCCTCGTTGACCTTACTCATGGGGATGATTATAACTCTCGAAAGCTGCTCCGCGGTCAGCCTCTCCCTTGCAATCTTCCTGCAAGAGACAACACACGGAGCATTCTGAGAACAGGCCAGCGCTACACAACACATCCGTATTCGCGGAACTCTTTCTCAAAACAGAGATCTAAACGCCCTTCGAAATCCGATCGCCTCCGTTGAGCAGAAGAATAGAGGAAACCAGTTCTCGGAATATGGGTAAGACGTTGGAGCGCCCAGAGCGTTTTTTGCATGATCGCTACTTGTACTCTACACGTGACAGCCTGTAAAGCTCAAAGAGTATCATCGCTGGCCGAGCATCACGCCTACAAGGGCATCTTACACCATAACAAAGTTGAGCATATTCTCGGTCCATTCCTCACGCTTGTGTCGCATGTTCTCAAACTCTAAACGAGAGAGGCGCACACGCAAGCCATCAGCCTCTACTTCTATCGAAGGCTCCATTGACTAAGTGGAGGAAGCAGAGAGGCTGCGATCAAAGGAAGAAGCTAGACAAAAACTGAAGGAGAAGAAACCAAATGAGAAAATGACCTCCGTTGGGCTTTTATACTCGTGTTCAACTATTTGACCTACAAGGTTGTGGCGACAAAAAATGTTGCACGTAACAAAGGCAGTGCCACCCTATACCATCAAACCGTACTGAGCTGCGATCTAGAAGGCACTCGAATGGGGACAAACTCAATGTTGTACTGCACTCTGAAAATCCGTCAACGACAGATTTCGACCAATAAACATCCTCCCCACGCAAATTTCGAGAGTTATCCTTTGAGCCGCCACGTGGATGTCAATGATTTCCAATTTGAATGCATGCAGAGGTGGTCGAATTCAAAAATTGCCCAAATTCCATCGCCCAATCGCTTTTATGCAACTCGAAATTAGGCTTCTAAGTTCGTTGCACGTGGCTCGTAAAAAATGTACATCGTATGCATCGAAAATGCAGTACCATCGAGGGGAAGTCACGCGTATGACATATCCACTATCAAAAATCACCACCCCTTTTTATGCGCTACTACAATCTACACCTAGGACAAGAATGTGTAAACCTAAATCAAACAGGATTGCAAGCATGCCTCCCTAAACACATACAAGTTCCCCAAATCCCACACTACAAAGGACAATGCAGGGAGTCAATCCATGTTTAAAGCACTTGATTCCAAAACAACAAAACATATAAAAAAACAAGCAAATTTAGATGTTGGCCTCCACAAAACGACGTTAAATGTAGTCTTCGTGTAAAGCATCAATTTGACCAAAACCCAAAGGTTCAAAACCATGGAAGCAGTGGGAACACCATGTTATGGTGTAAGATGCCCTTGTAGGCATCTATGTAGTAGGGGAGGCAAAAATCTAAATCATCATAAGAGAACACAGCAAATAGATGCTGAGAACCCCCAAACAAATCATCAACCATTTTCCCCATTTTCTCTTATTCAATCATTGGTTTGACATGGCATATGTGATTGACAGGGCACTCCAAGCCTAACAATATACTGAATGCCAAGAAATAACAAATTTAAAACAGCTATGTTGTCTTGTTGTTTGCCAGAGAATGACTTAGCATGTACTACTGACATACTTGAGTTGGTTAACAAGAACCAAAAAGTACACACTGTTGCAAACTTCCAAAAATGATTGAAACAAGTAGACAACTACTAGGGGGGTCCGAATCCCAAAAAAAAACTATGGAAAACCAACCATAGCCAAATAACAATTTCAAGCTCCGCTTTTCAGCCACTTGTGAGGCCATACCTGCAAAATAGCCACTGAGAATGCAGTGACTAGATACCTTAGGACATGATTTACCCATTTCAGTCATAAAAAACCCCACTTTAAAACCACCTCATCATTCACATAATGCACTAATACAGCATTGCATTGAAAGAAAAGCATAGAAACAATTATACAGACTAAGGGGTTTTGACAATATACTACACCACAGTTTATGGCGCTGCTGCCGTCAGCCGCTTGCGATCAAACGGTTAGTTGCATATGTTCACGCTTAACGATACAGTAACCAGCGTCCCCGTCAACTGTTCACGCTGGGGAAACACTTGGCGAGCTGGTTACCCTTCGCCAATCATCTATCTCGAAATTGGTAAAACGGCCAAACCTCAGGTCTAGCTAGGTCTAGTTTTTTTCTTTCGCTTCTGGCATTTTCAGGGGGTGGGTCTAGGTGTCAAGATACTAGCAATGGGTAGGCTTAGGAGCCATGGTTGAGTTCGAGTAAGTTTAGGAGAGTCAAAAAATTGGAAGAGAAGAAGTGGTTTCACTATAGAGCGAGCAGTACATATAGGCAAAATGAAAGGTGCACCACCAAAACAGAACATTGTATAACTACAGTAATCTACACTACAGGCAGTTACAAAACAATATATAAAACTATATATTATTCTGACACGCCCCCATAAGTGCCTGTAGGGAAGAATGTGCAGTCAACGCCCCCATAATGGGGTACACCAAGAGTGCGTAGCAGTACGGGAGAGGGCAGGCAAGGAGGAGGAGAGAGAGAGAGGGAGAGAGAGGAGAGGAGGTGATAGGCTCTGGTTGGTCACCACATACATCCCCTCATCCTCCCCCTCCCCCTCCCCCTCCCCCTGCTGCAGGAGCAGCAGAGGGGGGGGACAAACAGAGGAGAATGGAGCCGTAGGGCCAGGGGACCACACTCACCCATCACCCCCACACCCGCCACCCCCAGTCCCTCCCCGGGCTCCCCACACTCTCACACCCTCCCCCCCAGCGGCAGCTGCAGCAGAGGGAACAAAAGGAGGAGGAGAAAGGGGTTGGGGGGGGAAGGGGGGGGGGGGGGGGGGGGGGGGGGGCGACGCACGGCCTCCCCGGGCGCCAAAGCAAGCGGCAGAGGGGGCGACGACTCCCCCCCCCTTTCAGGTCGCCCTTCCCGTCACCTGTCGAGGCGACCTGAGGGGGCCGCGTGCGGCCCCCAAAGGAGCCGCGACGGGTGACGGGAAAAGGGGGGGGGGCGGTGCACGTGCCCCCGGTGTGCCGCGGCTGGCGATAGGGCATGGCCGGGGCGGGGTCGGGGCCGCAAGAGGGCGGGGCCGCAGGTGGCATCGGGGCCTGGGGCGGGTACCGCACGGGCGGCGACGGGCCGGGACGGGCGGCGACGGGCCGGTACGGGCGGCGACGGGGCCGCAGCGGACGGCGGCGCGTCGTACGCGCGGTACGTGACGCCGCGAAGGGCGGCGACGGGCTGGTACGGGCGGCGAGTAGGCCGCAGGTAGGGCGGCGGGACGGCCGCAGGTAGGGCGGCGGGTGGGCCGCGACGGAGTGGCGGGGCCGCTCGAAGGAGTGGCGGGGCCGCGACGAAGTGGCGGGGCCGCGCGAAGGGGAGGTGGGGCCGCGACTAAGTGGCGGGGCCGCTCAAGGGGTGGCGGGGCCGCGACGAAGTGGCGGGGCCGCTCGAAGGGAATAAGGGGCACGCCACGGGGCGTGCCAAACACAGAGTAGCAGCGGAAGCTTTAAAGTGGGGCCCACAGGTCAGGACCTTGTCACTCTGATAGCATGTCAAGATACTAGCAATGGGTAGGCTTAGGAGCCATGGTTGAGTTCGAGTAAATTTAGGAGAGTCGAGAAATTGGAAGAGAAGAAGTGGTTTCACTATAGAGCGAGCAGTACATATAGGCAAAATGAAAGGTGCACCACCAAAACAGAACATTGTATAACTACAGTAATCTACACTACAGGCAGTTACAAAACAATATATATAAC